AATTCAGATATAGAGCTTTAATAAGTTATACCTACGCACAATTTACTTGTAATATTGAGTTTTAAGTAATATGCATTAATAAACAGTATTTTACGTGTAAAAAGTGGTTTTTAAGAGTTTTTGTCAAATGATTTATAATATAGAATATATATATATATATATATATATATATATATATAATTTAATTTAAGTTTAATAATAAAACAATTTATTTTTGGTTTAATATTATAAATTTTATAAATATAATAATTAAGTATTCTGTTAGAATTTAATGATTATACTAATTATATTTTAGATTTTTTATAATTAAAATGATATGTTTATCCTATATTTGATTGTGTTTATCTGCAGTTAATTACACGAATTCAGATATGGGATAAAATCGGATAGGGATGAACGAGTTTAAGAGTTTTTAAGAGTTTTAATAGTTTTTAAGAGTTTTAGCCAAATGTTTTATAAGATAGTATTGATAGTACAAATTGGCATTGGCTCATTCCTCTAGAAACCCAAAATTTTATTTCTGGTTAAACTATGAGGAATGAAAATTCATTCCAAAAGTCCAAAATTTTAATCTGGTTAAACTATAAGGAATGAAAATTCATTCTCATTTTCATTCCCCGTCATTTTCATTTTCGTTCTCATTTACATCAATTAAAACACTTTGAACTTCTTTTAAAGTAATGTATTGGATATTTCGTCGTAAACGTGACACATATGCGGTGTGAACCGACAAGGTGTGCAACATGTTCGTTGCAAGTAAACTGTTTTCGCCCATAGATTTGAATATTGAACGGTTATCGTTAAACCTAACGTTTTTATAAAGGTCCAAAAAAACTACACGATACTTTTAAGGAATTGCTTGTCAAATCGAACAAGAAAGAGAAGTCCAATAGCTGGTCCAATCACGTTTCATTTACTCTTCCTCGTTTATCTTGTTGAGTTGTCGGTCAAAAGTGGTAATTTACATCTATTTGTGTCGGACAGATATAAACACATCCATCTTTACTGATTTTATATTAATTGGTAGTAAATTATCTAAGACGGTATTTAACCACAATTTCATCCAACTCAATCTCACTTAAAATATTATTTTCTCTCTTATCTACTTACATAATCTTTAATTTCAATCCAATCTCAGTTTATTTATCGTTCATTAGGGTGCGTTTGGTATACTAGACAGGACATGACAGAACATGATAGGGATCCATGTCCCATGTTTGGCATGACTTTTATGTGGAACAGACAAGAACATAGTGAAACAAAGTATAACAGGCCTGTTCCACCCCTACCGCATGGAACAAGGTGGAACAGACTTATTTTTTACCAATATAACCTCAAAATAAAACTTAATTCTCTTCTAAAACATCAAATAAGTCTCTTTTTTACATTTTATTCATTCTTTAAATTTTATTTATTGTATTTTATGTTTCTTAAACTTTCATTTTACTGTCCTCGAAATATTATTTTTATACGGTTTCTATATTTTATTAATTTATGTAATTTACTATATATTTATAATAAAAAAATAATGTAGAAAAGAGATAAAAATAAAAATTGGAAGCTACATAAACTTTTTATTTGGTGTGATTTTAATTGATTTGACGAAAACTTCAAATGATGTATAACCGAATGAGGTTCGAGTTAAGAGCCCTTCCATTTGCATTATATATTTTCGCCTTTGGGACCAAGTGATCTCGAGTCTTGATCATGCTTACTAACTTTGGCAAGTTGGTTGATGAGTCGGAAGCCAACCTATCGAGCGCCTCATATTGTACCGATCTCACGGTTATCATGGAAAAGGAAAATCACAGCGTCCCAAAGAAAGGTGTATAGCACCCAAATTTGAGTTACGCCAACTTAGAGGTCGTTTACTGAATGTTAACGGGGTAAGTGCTTACTGGGTTACTGACGTTACTAGGTAACTGAAGCTGTGAAGATAATGATTATTATCTGATTAGCGTTTAACGGATAAAAGATCTTTATGAACAACTTCATCATGTCATTTCGAGAACCAAGATCCCTACCCGATTTTATATGCTAGGAAACATTTAATAGCAATGTAATGTGTTTTCTATCATTTTTAATACAACAACAGCTTCAAGCGGAAAACCAAGTTTTTTTCTAAACCTACCTCCCCGAATTAATGAGAATGAAAATAAAAGAATCTGTTTGGTTTTCTATAATATAATTGACTCATTCCTCCAGAAGCCCAAAATTTTATTCCTGGTTAAACTGTGGGGAATGAAAATTCATTTTCATTTTCGTTCTCATTTACATCAATTAAAACACTTTGAACTTCTTTTAAAGTAATGTATTGGATATTTCTTCGTAAACGTGAACATATGCGGTGTGAACCGACAAGGTGTGCAACATGTTTGTTGCAAGTAAACTGTTTTAGCCCATAGATCTGAATATTGAACACTTATCGTTCAATTTCTTTGAAAAAAACCCAACGTTTTTATAAAGGTCCAAAAAAACTACACGATACTACTTTAAGGAATTGCTTGTCAAATCGAACAAGAAAGAGAAGTCAAACATATTTGTTTATTTGTGTTTATATTTACTGTAATAGCTGGTCCAATCACGTTTCGTTTACTCTTCCTCGTTTATCTTGTTGAGTTGTTGGTCAAAAGTGGTAATTTACATCTATTTGTGTCGGACAGATATAAACACATCCATCTTTACTGATTTTATATTAATTGGTCGTAAATTATCTAAGACGGTATTTAACCACAATTTCATCCAACTCAATTTCAATTAAAATATTACTTTCTCTCTTATCTACCTACACAATCTTCAATGTCAATCCAATCTCAGTTTTTTTATGGTTGATTAGTGATCCAATCCAACCTAAAATATTATTTTAAGAATTATATTAATTTTTTTATCATATATAATTATTTTTTTTTTAATTTTAAGTATAAAAAATAGATTGGACGGATTATATTATAAAACATTTGACAAAAAAAATCTTAAAAAACCATTTTTTATGCATGAAGTACTATATATTAATGCATATTACTTAAAATTCAAGATTACAAGTAAGTTATGCATAAGTACAACTTATTAAAGCTTTATGTTTGAATTCATGTAACTAACTGCGGATAAATATAATCAAATAAAGGATAAACATCTCATTTTAAAATATAAAAAATTTAAAATATAATTAGGATAATTATCGAGTTTTAACAAAATCATTATCTTTATAAATTACTTCACTATTTGACATAAATTAAATTATATAAAAAACAAGAACTTTTAAATAGTTAATTTGATATTAATATCGATATATTTTAAAAAAAAATTATGATGTCTTCAAATTTATTTTTATTCAAAAGTAAAAACATTATCTTTCTCAAAATTACATAAATCGTATTATATCAACAAAGACAAAATAAAACGAAAAAGTAAAATGAATATGTATATCGCTGCATTGTGTGAGTACCTTCTAGTTATAAAAAACTTACCATACAATTGAAAATTGGTATGATGAAAAAATTGTCAATATTAGACTCTATTTATAAACAATTTAAAAATATGAATTTTGATATATTTTTTAATGTTTATTTTTTTTTTTTGTTAAAATCACTTTTTAATCAAATAAGTATTATTTTATAAAAAATCAAATTCAACCAATGACGTGATACCATGTGTCAATCTCATAAAAAAACAAAGTAACAATCCCAAACAACATTGGTTTGCTAGATGAACGGGATCGGAGGAGATTGACAATTTATTTTTCCTTTTTAATATTTTTTTTGAAAAATGTTTTGTCTTTTTCACGATCTGATTGGTGAGATTGCGGATAAAGTTAGTCCAACAAGCTTATTTGTTTGAAATCTTTTAACTGAATTGTTTGATTTGGTACTGATTTGACACAATAATCGATAATTTTAACTGAAGAGAACTATATTTTGTTAAAACTATTAAAAAATATTAAAGAAAATACTAATAGATAACAAATTCTAGTACGAGTAATTTCCCGTTCTGTATCTTTTAAAAAAATTACATTCAATTCTGATAGCATCTTCAGCAACTATGTTATATTAATCTAAGAGGCTGTTTGACAGTTACCGAATGATTTGGTGCAAAATGATTAAGTGATCAGAATGATTAAAAGGCTCTCATAATATAGTGCAAAATGAAATATAATTGTTTGGTAATTATTTATGACGAAATTAGGACGATGATACAAAATCATTCAGAGAGTTTTAGAATCATTAAGAGACAAATTTTTTTTTGCCAAACAAGATTCATCTATTAATGATTCAGAGATTTTACTTAATAGAACTATTAAAAGGTAAACAAACAACTCCTATTTTTTTTAGATATTTTAACATCCAATTCTAATCGCTATTCTATTTTAGATATTTTAACATTAATTACATCAAATTTTAACATTTATTTTATTTTAGAGATTTTAACATTTAATTATATTATTAAAATATTCAGTATATTAGTAAAATAATATTTCTACCAAATTTCCTATTTTAACATAGTTTTTGTCTATTGGTTAAAAATGTTGTGACATATTTTAAATTTTAGAAATTTTAACATTAATTATATTATTAAAATATTCAGTATATTAGTAAAATAATATTTCTACCAAATTTCCTATTTTAACATAGTTTTTGTCTATTGGTTAAAAATGTTGTGACATATTTTAAATTTTAGAAATTTTAACATTAATTATATTATTAAAATATTTTATAAATTCATTATCTCAATATAATTTATTTATTTTTATAATAAAATAAAAATACATTCAATCTCACTGATTGAACAATAATCTAAAATAATATTTTGCAAGGGACCGTTTACCAAACGGTTACTCGGGTAATCATTTATCAAGTAAGAGCGAGACAAGAACCAATAGTCTTACACAGTAAGTGAGGAAGAAGACTCTTACCACGGTAAGCATTTGTCAGGTAAATAGTTGCATACGATGCCGTTTTGGTGGATTAAAATTTTATCCGGTAAGTAAATGATAATGTTAAATTTTACCGGTAACCACTTACTGAGTAAGCGTTTGATAAATGATTTTAAATAATGTTCAAAATTTGTGCTTTAAAAATGGCACGTTCGGACAAAACTTCAAAACCTTGGGTCGTTCAATTGTAAATATATATAAACGGAAGTTAACTATTTCCCTTTAATTACCTACCTAATTAAAAAGCAGGTCCATGGAATCCTCCCGCCATTGTCGTCGATAGCTCCACCAACTTTCCGTCTACGTTCATCACCTCGTAACTTCCAACGAAAAGTATCCTGTTCCGATTTCCATTAACATACAAGACAAAAACATTTCAACACTTCAACGCGCAATTCGAAATCTCAAGGTATTTTGTTTTGTAGTGATGATTTCTTCGATACTTAACGCTGTAATGGAAATGTATAAATATTATTGTTCCATAAGTTAGGATCATCACACGCTGGATCATATATTGTTTGATTTCACATTACTGAATCTGAAATTGATTTTTGAAGTCGAAAGTTGATTGCTAGGGTTTTGATTTTTAATTTGCTGTGTGATATTTGTTTTTTACTCTATTTTAGCTGTGGTTCTTTCAATGGCTGTAACGGATGCTAATGAGGTTGCTTTGAAAATAGTATTGGTGGAGTTGCTGAAAACAGTATCATCCCAAATTCAAAAAACGGCAAAGTTTAAAACGCTACTCAAGCGCCTCGAGAAAACTTTAAAAAACATTGAGCCAATATTTTATGGAAATGGGGGATTGAGCATAGTGCTTGACCGTCCCCAAAAAGAGATCAAAATGTTCATATTTTATGTGGAAAATGGGAAAAATTTAGTGCTGAAGTGCTCTAGGATCAAGTGTTGGAATGTGTACAAGAAGTTTATTCACGCCAATAAGCTCATTCGATTGGACAATGAGCTACAGAGGTTCTTTCAGATTGGATTGGAAGATAGGAATCATAGGATAATGATTGGGATTCATGATCTGGGAGACAAAATGGATCAAGTTCTTTCAGCTGTTACTGAGCGGGCGGGTGGATTTTCTGGTTCTTGCAGTGTTCCCGGGCTCCCAGATGTCATCATTGGCTTGGATTATCATCTTGAAGAATTGAAGCGTAGGCTGCTCAAAGATGACAACCAGGTGTTGACGGTTTCAGCTCCTGGAGGCTGTGGGAAGACTACATTGGCAAAGATGGTTTGTCATGATAATGAAATTAAAGGTACAAATTACTGACCTTTTTCTTCTTTGTATTTGTTGTTTTTCCTATGTTTCTATGTTTGTTAGAAAGGTCGGAAACATGACACGTTTTTTTTTAAGTATATCTATACTATATTATACAACATTTGACAAAAATTCTTAAAAACCATTTTTTATGCATGAAGTACTATTTATTGATGCATATTACTTAAAATTCAAGATTACAAGTAAATTTTACACAAGTACAACTTATTAAAGCTCTATGTTTGAATTCGTATAACTAACTGCGGATAAACATAATCAAATAAAGGATAACATCTCATTTTAAAATATAAAAAATCTAAAATATAATTAGGATAATTATTGAGTTCTAACAGAATATTTAATTATTAATTTTATAAAAAATATATTATTAAACATAAATTAAGTTACTTCGTTACGATAAATTAAATTATAATAAAAAATTTAAATTAAAGAAATACACAAATAAAAACTTTTAAATAGTTAATTTGATACTAATATTGATATATTTTTTGTAAATTTTATATAATATTTTTAAATTTATATTTTATTTAAAAATAAAAGCATTATCACTTTCTCAAAACCACATAAAATTGTATTATATCGACATAGATAAAAAATAACACGAAACATTGAAATTGAAATGTGTCTCGATGCATTAATATTTATATACAGCAAATACCCACACACACTTCTCACATCCCGTGAAGTTTGAACCCTTTACCTCCTCGGAGGTTGAGCTCTATAGGTAACCCAAGATACCATTTGGCCAAACACCCTTTGGTCGCCGTGCATGTTAGAGCTCTAGATATTAACCATCTATATCCATCGAATTTGAGTTTGATATTAAGCTTGCTGATTGATTGTGGCTATATGTCCAGATTGGATTCAATTTACATCCTTGTCAGAGACTAAATAAATATAATTTTATAACTTTCCTATGTAAATGTTACGATAAATTTATATTTGTACAGGTATATTTGGGGACAATATCTTTTATGTTACTGTTTCCAGAACGGCGACTCTTAAGAGCATCGTCCAAAAACTATTTGTACATCATCTTAATGTAAAGTGTTGCGAGTTTCAAACTGATGAAGAGGCAAAGGACCAACTTGAAAACTTGATGAAGCAAATGGGGTCAGAGAACATATTGCTGGTCCTAGATGATGTGTGGTCCGAATCTGAATCCCTTATTCAGGATCTCAAGTTCCCAATACCAGGATACAAAATCTTGGTTACATCAAGATTCTTGTTTCCGAGATTTGGTTCCACATATGAATTGAGCTTGTTAAATGATGAAGATGCGAAAACCCTTCTTTGCCGTTCCGCATTTCCCTATGATGGGATCTTTAATGTGCCAGATGATCTTGTGAGCAAGGTATATATAATTACATTTTCTTGATCCTTACGGACGAGCCATTTTACATGATTAAGTCAAGACTGAACCTTTCATGTGGTTTTCTTTGTAGATGGTCAAATGCTGCAAAGGGTTTCCATTGGCCCTTATAGTGATTGGTTCATCACTATGTGGGCAAGGTGTGGTCAAGTGGAGAACAACTTTGAAGAAATGGTCAGAAGGTCAATCTATTTTTGATTCAAGCAAACAGCTGTTGCTTAACCTTCGAGCCAGTGTTGATGCACTCGAAGAGTTTCCTATAGCCAGAGACTGCTTCCTTGACTTGGGTTCATTTCCTGAAGATGAAAGGATTGCAGCCTCTGCTCTTATGGATATGTGGGTGGAGTTGTATAATCTAGATGAAGAAGGAATATATACCAGTGAATACCTTCTTGAACTCTCTTCAAGAAATCTTTTGAGTCTTGTTCCTGCAAGGTAAAAAATTGTTTAAGTCGTATAAAAATAATCCGTTATTCCTCCATTGGTTGACTGATTTCCATTTCATCTTTCAGGAAAGATGCTAGTGAACTAGAAGGGTATTGTAACGAGCATTATGTCACACAACATGATTTGCTAAGAGAATTAGCCATCCATCTTAGTTGCCAGGAGCCGATAACACAAAGAACACGATTATTGATCGAAATTCATGGGAATGACATACCCACATGGTGGATTGAACAATCGCAACAACCTTTCACTACCCGCCTCTTGTCTATTACAACAGGTTTCATTTCTTCCTATTCGTCTTTTTCTTTAAATACATCATGATAATGACCATTTGCTAGAATTGTTTTTAGACTATGTTTGGCAAACTAGTTTATAAGTTAGTTGTCAGCTGAAAAGCTAGCTCGACAAACTAGTCATTTTTGGTAAGAACTTGCTTATAAGCTAGATGGCAATGTAAAATGATTTAAAATAACAGGTTGAAAAATTAGTCGGAAAAATATAATAGCACAATTGGAAGAATGAAAATGGATCTGGAGCTTATTGAAAGGCTAATTCAATTAGCGATTCAAAAAGCTAGCTTATGGAGTTTTTAATATCCTCCTTTTCTTTATGTAGATGAAGCATTCTCCTCTATTTGGTATGATCTAAAAGGACCGAAAGTTGAAGTTTTGGTACTGAACATACGAAGTCAAAAATACGCATTGCCCTGGTTCATCCAGAAAATGAATAAACTAAAAGTTTTGAACATCACAAGCTACAGTAATAATTTTACCGAGTTGCACCAACTCTCATTAATTGGTTCTCTATCCAACTTAAGAAGAATAAGATTCGAGCACCTCTCAATTCCTCCCTTGATCCAATCCATCTTCGAGTTCAAGAACTTAAAAAAGCTTTCCTTTATCATGTGTGAGATTGGTAATGCCTTTGATAGTTGTACCATCGATGCTCCTTCTATGCTGCCGAACCTCATAGAGCTTGAAATCGACCGTTGTTATGATTTTAAGGAAGTACCAGCAGCACTATGTAATATTGATCATCTTCAGAAACTAAGCATCACCAATTGCCATGAGCTGGATGCTCTTCCTAAAGGGTTTGGGAGACTGTCGAATTTGGAAACTCTGAGACTTGATTCTTGTACGAAATTAGCGGAATTACCCAACTCAATCGGGAACCTTGGTAGTTTGACTTTTCTTGATATATCTGATTGTTTGAGTATAAGTTTCCTACCTCATCAGATTGGCGAGCTAACCGCACTAAGAGTGCTTAAGATGAGCGGTTGTCGAGGATTACAAGACTTACCCGCTTCTGTGACCAGTTTATCCTCGTTAGAAGATGTGATATGTGACGAAGAGACTTCGTATTTATGGAGATTTTATGAACATGATCTTTGTGATTTGAAGATAAATATTGTTGAAGATGACCGATTTGCAGACTTCATGAAAATTGTTGCCCAGTAAGGGTGCATGCGTTTGGCATGCAGACTACATGGGACGGGACGGGACAAAAAAGAATAGTCTCATGTTTGGCATGCCATGGACTACCTAGATTCCCTCTAGCAAACAAGAGGGTAATGGCTAGGAGACGGAAAGCCGGTTCTTCACCAGATCAGGTATGGTTAGGCCTAAACGGGGCCGGTTTGGGGTTGGCTACGGACCTCCTTTTCTAGTGGATCGAAGATGGGTCAAGGAGTCTAGACCACAGGACCAGTTAAGATGGCTACTAAAACTGCATTTTTGATGATAAAACTCCTTGGTAAAACAGGGAAAGAAAAGGAAAGGCCAATCGGAATTTCTCAAAACCAAGAGGAGAGGCCTTGGGGCTTCTCTCCGGTTCTAAGTCTTCTCAGGGTGCTCTCAGGATTTTTCTGATTGTTTTCTTCAAGGCGTTAAGGAATTAGTTTGGATGTGCGCAAAATGACCACAGGTGGGTTGCAAAAATAGAATTCCGTAAAGATGTTTACAATCTGTTGGGTGATAAAAAGATACATCAAGAAGAAACAACACCAAAACCAAGACTTAGGCCTTTGGGGCTCTTCCCATAGGTCATTGGTTCGAGTCTCTCCAAGCCAATGTCGATCTTCTTGGTTGTTCTCCAGGGTCCCATGGAATTAGTCGAGATGGCCCAAATACCCATCGTTACCAGAGGAAAACACCAAAACCAAAATTTGGACAAGAAGACAACAATGACAAAGGAAATGCAAGGGTGATTGAAGAAGTTTGAAAGCATAAACGGATAAACCAAAGGGGTGTTTGGCCTCGCGGTATCTGGATCTTTGTCCTCCTACGAAGTCAAGGTTCAAATATAAGAGGGTGTGAGTTTATGTGACGTATATAAATTTTATATACTTCAAAAAGAAGTTAGTGAGCCCAGAAATCACTGTCATGGACTCTTATGTGAATATTGGAATGATTTAAGAAATGCACATGGCAAGTGAATGAATGATTAGCTCAAGTGTAGCCTTTGGGAATTTTCCTCGGAAATCACTAGTTCGAGTTCTGCAAGGCCACTGGGATATTTGATTTTCATATATACAATAAAATATAAATAAAAATTTATTAGTAACCTTACAAATAAGAATGTAGTATACTTTTAGAAATGCAACATAATTGTACATTTTTTAAACTATAAAAACTAATCAACGTTTTTTATTGAAATTATAAGTAGTTTAAGTCATAAAAAACTATAAAAGTATTAATGAAGTATCCCAAAAAGATAATAAAAGACAGGAAAAATAAGAGTTCGTAAATTTGTCTTCTTGATGATAAACTTTTAAAACGCACGTAAATTTATAAACTTTTAGAATACACCTTTAAGTTTTATAATTTCTAAGAAATTTAGGTTTCAATTGGTAAGTTCGGTTCGAGCTTTGATTCAAGTTTGAGTTCAAGCTCGAGTTTAGAAAATTACTATTGAATTCAAATCGAGTTTGGATATTAACTACCAGCAAGATCTTGAGTCGAGTTTGAGACAAAAAACGGCTATCAAATTCAAATCTAGTATACCACCATTGCAACCCCCATTTGTTCAGATTGGAATCTGTCTAAAAGGGTCAAAAAGAGGTTATTTCTGACTGAATTAAGACCCTATTTTCAGATAAGATATACCGGATTCTTTTTGTTTGGTCAAAACACAGAACCACTCCACAAGGTTCATTATCATTCGTTATGCATTTTTAAACAAGCCAAGACTCTTTCTTATGAAAATTAACATCACTTGATGAGAACCGGCAACATTAAATGGAATCGAGCACGAAACTGTCTCACGAGACAAAAGAACGACGCAACGGTAGTCGTAAGACAAACCCAACCCTTGCTAAAAGACATCAAGAAAATGTATGAACCCCGAACAAGGAACAAATCATACAGCACATTTTGATCAATTTTCACCCTAATCAGAACTCGTTCATTTCACCGAGAAAAAGATCAAAATGACCAAATTCTGAGCAACGATGCCAAAAACCATGTGCATCACTAGTAATTTGGTCATTTTGCCCAGTGGAAAGCCTAGCGAACCTACAAAACCCGTAACCCCAGACCCTTTTTCCTAGCAGAAACACCAGAATCGGGAGCAAGAACATCACAATACGTGCGGTAAAAATTGTACAACGCTCGAGATTTGGTCATTCTGTTATGAAAAGAAGGCCTACATAAGATACAAAAAACCACAGTCGGTGTACATATTCGACCCCGGTGATGATACAAAAAGGTCGGGTCCTTCTCCCCAATAGAAATGCCCAAATCCCAAGCGATAATTCTACAACTCATGTGACAAAGTGTATATCGCCCGAGATTTAGCCAGCCCTGGAAAGAGGACCCAACCAAGATACAAAAACCACAACCCGACTCCTGTGGCACAACCGACAAATGATTCTACGTACATGAAACTAAGATAACACACACTAATTATATAAATTTGGTCATCAGATCGCATATATGACCTCGCCACTGCTATCGATATCGAGCTCATCAGGGTCGGAGTCGAAATCGTCGAGATCATCGTCCATCATATCGAGGTCGTAAAGGCCAACAGGTGGAATGGTGGCCTCCGATATGATCTGCATGATCACATCGACGCTCTGCATTGGCTGATCGGGCTCTTCAAACTGGTTGTTCATCATCTTCTCTTCATCCATGAGATTTGCAGGGAGGTTCTTTAGAAACCAAACGTGCTGCTTTATCTCCGCCATCGTGATTCTCTGTTCGACAAGAATATCCAACGGTTAAAATGTACATCATCTCAAGCACATAGCACTGACACATACCATACCAAACCAAACCAAACCAACCCAGTAAATCCCACATTGAGTAGGGTTTGGAGAGGGTAAAAAAGTCAAAACCGAGTATGGTTTCGCCTCGGCAGCTCAACAAGCCTATACGAGCTTATACAAGCCAAATTGTAAGGCCCAATGTAGCAGGCTGACCAAATAATATCAAAATTAACTTAAAACTATAGTGGAAGTTATTGGCAGCAAGGGCGGACCCACATGGATAGATATGGTGGCACGAGCTACCACTTTAAGGTTCTATAAGGCCCCATGGCCTAATGTAGCAGGCTGACCAAATAATATCAAAATCAACTTAAAACTATTGTGGAAGTTATTGGCAGCAGGGACGGACCCACATGGATAGATATGGTGGCACAGGCCACCACTTCAAGGTTTTGTAAGTCCCCATGGCCCAATGTAGCAGGCTGACCAAATAATATCAAAACTTAAAACTATGGTGGGAGTTATTGGAGCAGAGGCGGACCCACATGGATAGATATGGTGCCACCATATAGTTTTTGACATTTCAATTTTAACACACGACTTTAATGGCTAAGATGGTAAATGCTCTAACTTTGTACAAAAGGCCCAGGTTCGTGTCCCACAGCTGTCAAATTTGGTGTGTGTTTTTTACCTCGTGTTTCAAAATATAAGTAAACTGGACTCGAACATGGGTCTTTTCTATGTAAGGACAAGGAACCAACCAACAAATCTATATACTAATATTGTGGAAAAAAAAAAGATAATTTTCATAGTCAAATTTTGCCACCACTTCGGGGCTCTGATTGGTAGCCCACAACTTTGAACTTATAAGGAGCCCACGACTCTAATTTTCTATCCATGTGTGACTGGTTATTACATAAGCCACCCATCTTTTAAGTCTCTTTTAAAAACTAATCTTCTAGTGTTTTTCAAGATTTTTACAGACACGTGATGTTTTATACCAGAGGCGGGTCATTTGAAGGTTCATGCTCGTAATTGAGAACTCATTTAAGTAAATGACCCATCACAAGCCTATACTAATCGAGCCAAGAGTCAAGCTTATACGAGCCTGTAGAAACTGAGCCCATGCCACTGAACGCCTGAGCCAAGGCTTAAGCGGCTGAATTTTCAAGCGAGCAAGACAAAAATCAAGCTCGAACCCAAAACATTTAACTAGCCAAGCAAGTGCGAGCTCAGCTCGCTCCCTACCTAGAAATGTTAAATCAATGAAATAAAGAAAGAGAGATTGAATAAGCCGAACACACACTTCATACCATCCAAAACTAACATGACTTACCTGTGCGGGATCTCCAACAAATATTCTCGAGATGAGGTGCCGACATTCCGGGGATATCTGAATATTGTCCGGAATTGAATACTGAACGTGAAGAATTCTCTGTAGGTCATCAAGGGTAGATTGCTATAAGTGAAACTATATTATAGTATCGGCATCATAGAGTTCTAAATATGTCTACACCATACATGTATAGTCTTTCGGAAGTCTTTTGGTTCGTTAGGGTCCTCAAAAGGGTAGCCACCAACGAGCATAACGTATAACGTCACCCCACATGACCACACATCTGCAATCTGAAAATGGTAAAAAATAAATAAATAAACCGGAACTGAGATCAAATCGATCACGCTTCAAGAAATCAACTGGAAACGGCCAGGTTGTCCACAGTTTGTCCCAAAATAAGTGTCCACATTTCTATTTCAGTTTGTCCCAAATTAATTATCCCTTCTCTTATTAAGGGTAAAACTGTCATTTAGTTCATTAAAAGTGTATCGATAATTGTATGTCTTTTTCATTGTGGACACTTATTTTGAGACGGGGGAGTATAAGAAAGTATACATGCTGAAAGATATCCGATCAATGATCTAAAGGTATCTGACAACGTGCAAAAGTGGGCACGAAAAGAACCTACCTTCCCATCATATTCTTGCCTAAGCAACACTTCGGGTGCAATGTATGCCGGTGTACCAACTGTCGATTTCGGCTGTGAATGCAGCACGGAAGACTGCAATACAACATCACGAAAAAATATATGAATTTTGACCAGAGATGCAGAACAACACAAACAAGATAATAAAACGAGTAGTACAGAATACCCACCTTGGAGTACCCAAAATCACAAATCTTCAAACGGGGAGCCGGGCTTCCATCCAACAACGTGTTCTCTAGCTTCAAGTCACGGTGACAAACTTGCTTCAATGATGAAATACAACAGAAAGAAAAACAAGTGATTAGGTCAGAAACCAAACCAAACAAGCCCAATATAAATGTATAGAAGGAGGAGCATGCGAGAAGTTGATCAATTTGCAACAAGACGAGAAGTTCCAAGATCACACATGATTACATGTAATATGAACATGTAATCATATATGATCAAACACGTCCAAATGGAAGCGGGCGACTTGGTGAATGCAATCAACGCGATATGTGTTTAATCATATATGATTAAGTGATCGTATCACATGTAATCATGTGTGATCTTGGGACTTCTCGCCTTCTCACAAGTTGACTGCCTTCTCGTTTGAACCCGACCCTAAGTGTATAACCCACCCAAAGATGGGATCTGGGGTATGAAGTACGCAAACTTGACCTCTACTCTTCGAGTAGAGTGGTTGTTTCTGTAAAGACTCCCGCCTTGTTAACAATGTGATTAGCCCATATGCAAGTTAAAAACACCAAAAAGAAAAATTAAGAACATATGAGTTTTCAAATACCATAGAATGACAATAGCTGACTCCCGATATGAGTTGTTGAAAGAAGAAACGAGCCTGTGCAGAATCAACACAAGTAAACATTTGCAAAAAAACAAAACAACAGATAACGTGTTACGAGATTTAAAAAAAAAAAGATGAACCTCGTCCTCATTGAAGCGCCCTGCATTACAAATTCTATCGAAAAGCTCCCCTCCAGAAGCATATTCCATCACGATTGCCAGATGGGTTGGGGTCAATATGAGCTGTGTTAGATTAAAAGATAACAATAATAAGTAATTTGTCGCCCGATTGACCAACGTTTCAAACAAGAAAGCGTGAAAATGAGCAAACCTCTCTGAACCGAACTATGTTTGGATGTCTTAGAGACCTGTGATTGATAATTTCTCTTTGAACATTCTCGTCTATCTGAAAACAGACGTTTACCTTATTAAACAATAATCAAATAACCAAAACAGAATTCCTAATCAAACCAAACAAACACATTATGTCTCATTCAGAAGTGGGGTCCTGGATGAGATGTGGGGTTCTGAATGGATGTACGCAAACCTGACCCCTACCTCAAAGAGTCGATCAGTATCCCACTCAAAAGTAGAGTCCAAAGGGGTTACGTCCCAATGCAACATCAGGTGTAACACCCTCTAGACCAAAAAGCAAGCAAACCCAATAACCTTCGAATCAACTTAAAGTCATGGTGGAAGTTATTGGCAGCCCACAACTGTTAACCTGAGCTGTTAACCTGAGCTCAAAAATCTAATCTTTACAGGAAAAGAAAGATTGCCCAAATGGGTTTGGAACACCCTCAAACTAGAGAATTCCATATTTGGTATAAACCCTAAAATAGAAACACAAAATGAGTAGATCATCCACTCTCTTTCCATTATCAACACACCTCCAAGATTCATCACAAGAACTAAATTCTCACAGCCTCGTGATAGATATCAAGAAAAGTTCCATTTACAATGGAGAGAAATTCAACACTTCATAACCACAAATAGAAACAAATTCATTCACCATAAAAGTTAAAGATCCATAAATAGAAACAAAACAGAACTTCCCTAATTTGAACCGTTCAAAGTAGAACACCCGAAACAGAAAAGATTGAACAAAAAAGTTTACCCAAATTGAATCAGTCAAAATCCAACAACAACGAGGAAACCCTAAAATTTCGTTATTTTGCATCAAACCCCACTAATTGAAATTCACCAATCAAACAAAATACCCCCAAAAGAAAACAAAAATGAAAACCTAAAATTTCTCGATTTTGCATTAAACCCCACTGATTACAATCCATCAATCAAACAAAAAAAACCCCAAAAAAACAAAAATCAAATCGAATCAAATTCAGGGACTAACCTTTTCTCCCCTTTCAATATATTTAACAGCAACAAGCTCTTTAGTCTGTTTATCTCTCATAAGCCTGGCAACACCAAAATTACCCGACCCGATATCTCGAACCAAATCGTAGCGGTCACTGTCGTGCATGATCGGCAAATCCATACCCGAATTCGCAGCTGCCATCGATCGATCCATTTCGTCGGAAGTCAAAATCACATGAGAGTTGGGAAATCAATCAATTTCACTGCAACATTTGAAGATTAATTTATACACAAGATCATCGAAGAGGAGCTCTTTCTTCCCTAATATGCCGGGTACTGTAGAGATGATTAAAAAATTGGGATTATTACGAAGAAACAGATACAGAAAGGGGCCCAGATTTCCCTAAAGTCGGTTGCTTTTGGGATGAGATATTTTTGTAGCGGTCGGCGAGTGGGGAGATTTGGATTGATATTTGTTTAATATATCTTTTCGATGATGTGCGAGAAGACCAGTGGTTGGATTGGAGGAGTGATGGTGACGAGGGATAGCAGAAAAAGAAAGAATCTTGTCGATACGGTGTCGTTTTCGTTTGTTATTTTCACCATGTTTATAGTACTTCGTTAACAACTTTCGCGGCATGGTTTGCAGTTTGTATCGTAAATTACTGTATTTATAGTTTATGGCTTTGACTTGTGGTTTGGTCTCCAACGTATCGTAAGATTGTATATAGGTAAGGAGAGAGGGGAGGTTCATATGAAAAAAGTAACGGAATCTGATAACATGAAAACGGTCAAATCACATGTGATTTTAGACTGATGGTCAACTCAAGGGTATGCGGAGGATGTGTCCCGCGACCTCAGGTCGCCACTAAAGTCGCGTGAATTATATGTGATTTCAGTGTAAAATCGCATGTGATTCAACTGTTCTCTTATTCTTTTATTTGGTTACCGTTATCATATAAACATAACTCTCTGTGTGTGTGTGTGTGTGTGTGTGTGTGTGGAGGTTCAAATGAGAACATCTTCATTTAACGAAAACGCAAGAACACCCTTTATTATATGTGATAATACATGTGAAAGAAACTGGTGGTGTGAAAGCGACTTGGATGCAACCTAAGTCTGTGTCTCTATCTGATATCACATGATGGATTACGATATCACGTGTGATCGACGACTAAAAAAACGTTCTTGTATTTTCGTAAAATGAAAGTGCTCTTGTTTGAACTATTTCGTATATATGTTTTCATTACACATTATTTTTTTATTTATTTAATAATCATATATAAGAAATAAAATTTTCAATATGTATAATATACAGCACAGTATACAGCTACCACAGTTTCTGCCTTCTTGATTCAAGATTCCTTCTCTGTAGATTCCCATTTCAAGTTTCGACAATATTTTGTTACGTAACTTATTCTTATGCGTAATTGTTTATTGCAACTTTTTTTAACCTATCAATTGCGACCATTTACTGCAGTGTTTACTCTGTATGGATTATGATGTAAGTTGCAGTAAATACAACAGGCAAAAAACATATTGTATTTCACAGTACCACAAAATGTGGTATGGTTTGCTGTTTAAGAAAATGCTCAACTCGCGTATGCAGTACAGCTTGAGGGTTTGGCTCTAATCAGCACCGCACCATGAACTGATGAACACCCCTAGTTGTTTCCCTCGCATCAATTAGAACAGGTGTCATCACGAAACAACAGTTTTTTTTTTTTTTTGGAGTAGATGATTGGTTTACGTATATTATATATGTTATACTCAACTTTCTAGTGAGATATACTGGTTGTGTTGGTTTGTCTGATTTTACTTGAGCTTAAATAAATTTTTTTATTTGATTTTGAAGTTAGAAGCAGACTGTTTTATAATATTTGAGTCTAAAGTCAGATTTTCTAACATTTCGCCATGGTGGGTAAAGCTCGTCCCGAGTTAATAAATCCAAATAACTGAACTCGGATGAATTAAAAGGAACAAAGCCGACTATATTTGGTTATATCTTTTAAAATCATTTTTTGATTTAAGATCTTATTTGAGGTCGGATTTCAACTTGGTCCGGTCTTATTAAAAAGGGCAAATTGCATTAAAAAGTAACATACTTTAACTTGATTCATATTTTGAGTAACGTACTTTCAAAACTTCTATTTTGGTATCTAAGATGTAAAGTTTTAAGCATTTAAGTACTCGAGTAATCGGTTGAATACTAATTTTAGATTAAAAAAAGACTAATTTTAGATTAAAAAAAATTCATGTCATTAACCACGTCAGCAAATAATACTGAGTTGGATACCACATCAACATGATAACCGGTTAATGCTTCAACCAGTTACCTGGAACTTAAATGATTTAAACTTTACATTTTAGGTACCAAAATGAAAGTTTTGAAAGTATGTTACCTAAAATAGAAATCAAGTTAAAATACGTTACTTTTTTATGCAATTTACCCTATTAAAAACTAGAATTTAATTTTTTTTTTTTGCTTTAAACTTAAAGCCACATTGTTTTGGATTTATATATTTTTTTAAATTAAAATAAACTCAAGTATGCATTCGACTCAGATCGAATTTGGAATCAAATCGGTTTTCGGTTCCATTATTTTTTCTTTGTTCTGGTTTCGTTTTAGATCAGTTCAAAATTCCATCCTGGTTACAATATGATTAACATCCCCTTACGATTGAATATTTTACTACGAGTTATAATTAAAACTCGATTTTAGAACGTTTACAAGGTGGAGTTTTAACCTCGAATATACTTATTTTTAGCTGAAAAAATACAGTTTTTTTTTTTTTGATAGGGTGTCCGGGCCAAAGCCCGACTAATCTCGGGCAATTTTGGAGGCTAAACATGGCCTCATTTAAATGTCGTCAACACTCCCCTCCCAGGGCTCGAACTCGGGTTCATAACTATGTCATACGCAAGCCTTACCACTAAGCTGAGAGGTCTTTGAAAATTATGACAATATGTCCGTCAAGCCTTTTTATATTTCTGAATTTACGAACTTACATAGAGTCATAAAGCTCGTTTGTGACGGAAAAATTAAACTAGTTTTGGAGGATTGACGGAAAGCATTAGTGTTTCGCAATTTGCTTTGACGAACATTGTTTTATATACGAGCTCGACTGAAGATTGAGTTCAAGTGGCTTTTTAAATGCCGGAAATACTAGCATATTTATCGATAAGATAAACGATGAACAGTGTTTGGACTACGAGCTCGATTTTATGAAACAACTTTTTGCATTGGATCACGTTCATCCTTTGAAAGCAAATTATAAGTTAGGAAAATTAAAAAGCCGATATCATGTTTGTTTAGAAATCTATAGACCCCGACGATTAAATCAAACCAGTGACGGATTTAAGATTTTTGTCGATCGTTTGCATCATTAAGGTATCTTTTTAACTGGATTCCACTATTTCTAGTGATATGTTTACGTTTTTTGGTCGAACAGTACAACCGTTTGAAAATTTTTCTGGATTCATCTTTGATCGTTAAAAATGTTTTAAAAAAAATATCTCATATGTCCGACTCCGATGAAACTCATTAATAAAAATTTGTACTATTTTTTAAAAGTAAATTAAGAACACTACTTGTCATTCAGATGGTTTTAGAACCATTCAGAGGCAGACATTTTGTTTGCCAGACAATATTCACCTCTTAATGATTCAGAGTCTATCTCTTAATGAAACTATTAGAGATAAACAAACAACGTCTTTTTATTGCAAAACAAGATTCACCTCGTTAATAAAAAATTGTAAATAAATTTATAATATTTTTAAAATAAATAATTTAATAACACTACTTATCCATAACAACAACCCTTTCTCAGTAATTCCAGCTCAGAAAATAATTATTTTAATTTTTATTGGACCAAAAATGGAGTTATCAGAATGTGTATGTGGTTTTCATCGTTCCTGTGGACTTCTTCTTATACGGTTGGCGCTGGTGGGCCCAACTCTGACCGGATCACTTTTCTTTTATTAAATTTAGAGTAAATTACGTTTTTGGTCCTTATATTTGTCACTAATTATTAAATCTAATCCCTCTTTTGAACGAATTATAGTTTTAGTTATGGTAGTTGTTATTTTGTTTCACTTTTAGTCCCTCAAACTAACTTATGTTAAATAGATCCTTCATCGAAAGGGCATCTTGGTCTTTTTAATATATTTTATTTTCATTTAAAAAATAAAACAACTGTAATATATTATATACACGTAGAGAAGAGTTCAAACGAGAACACTTTCATTTTACGAGAACGCGAAAACATCATTCTACTGTAGATAATCACATGTGATACTATTATTACATCACATATGATACACATGTGATACTAAATAAGAGACGGGGATGATTTTCGATGCGATTTTGGTTGCGGGTCAAGTCGTCTTTACACCACTAAGCCCCCTCACATGTATTATCACATGTGATACGGGTGTTGTTGCATGGACGGACCCAGGATTGTGGTATAGGTGACATGTGTCACCGTATTATTTCTTCGCCGAAGGGTAAAAAAATTAGGTTTCGTGAACGGTGCAACCATATTAATTTGTTGTGTGCTACCGTATGCATTTTGAAACTACAATGAGAACAAGTTGTATTTGATATAGTTGGTTTGCAAAGCTTTTATTCCACCCCACACCCAAGTTCGAATCATGTTAGCGTCATTTTCTTAGTCAAATGGTGTCATCGTTTGAAAAAAAAATTATGTATATTTGTTTTTTATAGTCAAACAGTGCCACTGTTTGAAAATTTTCCCAATATTCTTTTCTTATGGTCAAATGGTGCGACCGTTTAAAAAAAATTATAGGTTCGTCTATGTGTTGTTGATATGATACTATAATCCATCAAGACCATCACATGTGATGCTAAATCATAGACACAGACAACCTTTGGCACATGCTAAGTCGTAGAACACATCGTCCGCACATCACAAGATCCCCTCACGCATATTATTAAATGTGATAAGTGTGTTCTCGCGTTTAAAAACTCCACCTATACACATATATATGCATCGACTTGAACCCACACCCCACGTCCCATCCCCAATTATTCTCATCATCGCCGATCACATCTCCGGCAAAACAACCACAAACCCAAAATCAGATCCCGAATCAAACCCAAATAACAGTGGAGGTTATGTTGTGTGTGGGATTTGATATGTTTATTCTACCTTGTCACTTCTTTCTCGCCCAAAAACCCCTCTTATGAACTAAACCCTTGAATAACCCCTCGATGAGAACTCCCTCTCTATTTTCTTCTATGTGTTTTGGTCGTACGTTAACGACCTATTCCAAAATCGGCCATTTTCTTCGTCCTTACACCATCCTCAAACACAGACCACTACTTTCCTTTGAATCGGCAAATGTATGAGATTAATTCAAATAGTCAACTTTACTCATACAAAACTTAATAGAAAACCAACCAAACAACCCCTTACATCAGCAAGAAGTACTGATTTAACATTAACAACTACCAAAACCAATTTCCTATTAAAAAATCATACTCACAACCAACACGATTTCTTAATTAAAAATCTTACGTGGTAATTAGAAAACCATTACAAAACCTAACCGATTGAAAATACATTAAATGCAAACTTTTATTTTAAGATTATAATACAAAATACAAGAAAAGATTGCTACAAATCTAAAGGGTTGTTTGTTTGCCTCTTAATAGTTCGATTAAAAGACAGCATCTGAATCATTAATAGATGAATCTTGTTTGACAAAAAAAATCTGTCTCTTAATGGTTCTAAAACTCTCTGAATGATTTTGTATCAAAAACCTCCCTTAACCATTAAACACCCTGATTTCATTGTAAATAATTACCAAACAATTATATTTTATTTTGCATTATATCATGAAAGTCTCTTAATCATTCTGCACCAGACCATTTAGCAACTACCAAACAACCCCTAACATTACAGGATTTCCCTCTCGAGTAGCTCCTTAAAAGACATAACAAAACAACCCCATTTTTGTGCAGTGATATCAAACAACACAATTTTTGCAAACCACCTTTTTCTTAAAAATGGTTCCAAAAGAGCACCATTTTGTGACTTACAGGTCAAAATGTATACAAGATATTTGTTACATCGAAACACAAACTCGTTACGTTAAATACCAATTGAAACTAAACCAAACTTTGTTGTATTTTAAACAAACCAAAAATATAACAATGTATGCATTGTTACAAAGAGAGAGAAACCAAAATTGCTTACTAGCATTCAGTAGTACATATAATCCACCATAGCATGCTCAAATGCAAGTAAAATGTGCAGCAAGGTTTCATTACCTAAACAAATCTCTCTCATTTCTTACCAAACATACCCGATGCCGAAAGAAGGCGCAACGCTTGATTCGAGTTGTCCAAAATCGCAGATGATCTCGGAACCGCCATTTTTCGTTTCTTCAAGAAGTCCAATGAATTCTGTAAGCAAGGAGGCGGTGGTATTTCCTTCAGAATAACTGGTCCCATTCTGTATATAAGCGTATTAGCATTGCTTTAGATTAGGAAACAATCGAGATATTTATAAAACCAAATATTCATTTGGCTGGAAATGAGGTTCTAAATGGCGTCGCAGCGAGACCAAGCCTCGCATGATCCCAAGTCTATATATATATATATATATATAAACATGTTTTCTAATATTACTAGATGAATCAATGATAATTAACAATTTAAATTCAATTATATATTAAAAACTAACAAATAAGACATTAAAAAGGTAAGAAAAATCAGATATCCTGTTATAAAAACCGTGCATTAGGCCATGGCGTGCACAAGCTTAAAGGGCGTGAGACACTTGAGCCACGGCGCGCCATGGCGGCTGTTGCGGCGACTTGTTTAGAACAGTGTGAATGGACGGTTAAAATTGGTTTGTATTTGGAACTCATTATATATATAGTAATACGATCCCAATACAATACTAGTTGCATATCATTTGATCAAGAAATTAATTACCCCGAGTGTTTGGATTTCTTCTTTCTTGGTCTTTTCTCGGATTTCTCTTCATCCGAGTCGGAGGAGAAAACTTTCCTGTAACAGAGAACATATATGTTAAGGCTCGTTTACGTAAAGGCGTAAAGAATATTAGTGAAAGCTGGAGTGAATACTTCTCATTAGCAGCAAGCAATTTGACGATATCATCTGGGAGCATTCCTTTATTCTCTGGTTGTGTTTCGATTTCCTCTGTAGCATCTTGGATGCTTTTATTGACTCGTGGTGTTAACTTTTGAGCCCATGTTCTACGCCGTTCTTTTCGTTCACGCAAAACCCTGTACGGAAACGACTTATTTCATGAATAGCCGAAGCAAGATGACCCCATTATATGTGGCTTTTTCTCTTTAGCAAATGTGGTTCAGCAAGAATGTTCAGGATCGATAAGGAAATGGGGGTTCTTTAACAGGTTTTTAGGCCTTCTTGTGTATGGAAGTGGTATATTTAGATTTTAAGTATATAACCTTAAATGAGATTTTAATTAAATCAACCACCTTCTGACGGGTATGAAGCCAATTTTTTTCTTTTAAGAGGCCAGAAGGTCATGGATTTTATTTAAAATCTGATTTAGGGGTTGTTTGGTTGGTTTTCCATTAAGTCTTATATAGATAAAGTTGTCTTTATAAACTAATCTATCTGTATAAATTGAGAAGGGTTTTGTTTAGAATGATTTTTTCATAGATGGAAGAAGCGTGTTCTTTAACTGCAATAAGCCTGTTTGAAAAAGCCTGGCTTTCTGCATAAAGCTCCCCTCTGAAAGCTTAATGAATAAGCCACTTTCTGTATTAGTAAACCAGTAGCAAACAGTCATGTATAGCTTACAAAATAAGTTGCGAGTCTTATTAAGCTAACAAACAAGCCCTTAAACTGCAGCAATCAACCGCTATGCAAGATCTCACTCTTAGGAATCTAAAATAGTTATTTTCTTATTATAAACTCACATGCGAATTCTGAATTCACGAATATAATCAGCTTTCTTGGATTCTACATTACGATCTATCACTTCGCCACAAGATAATACTTTGCAACACAGACTAGAAACTTATTCGCGTTATATATAATATTGATGTGAACCAACGTTTTTCATGCTTAACGAACATCGACCATTAATCTAAAGCAAAAAAAGGCTCCTATTAATTGAGTGTACAACAATACGCAAGGAATCGCATACCTCGCCTTATTTTCTTTCTGAATCGTTCTTATCTCTTCGTCCTTTTGTATTGCCTGTGTATCAAATCACGAACTTTGATTCAGAAATAATAAACCAAAAATGAGTTTTAAGATTGATAACGGTTAAGCAAACGTAAAGAAGTCTACCTGTTCAACGGTGAATTCCTCCGGAGCATCGGAGTCGCTATCTTCTCTTCCCGACATCAGTTAATAGAGACGGAGCCAAGAATTTAAGTGGGACGAGCCTAATGTAAATACGTAAATATAAATATCAATCACAAATTTACAAATAACAACATATGAAACAAGAGAATAAGCAAAAACCTACTTTAAAAACTAACAAGCCATATCACATCGAGCAGTGAATAAAAGAGTAAGGGGACGTTTACCAAACACTTACCCGGTAAGTGTTTACCAATAAAATTTAACACTATTATTTACTTACCGGGTAAGATTTTAGTCCATCAAAACGACATTGTATGCAACAATTCACCCGGTAAGCGCTTACCGTGGTAAGAGTCGTCGCCCTCACTTACCAGGTAAGACTCATGGTCCTTCTCTCGCTCTTACCGGGTAAGATTTTTAGTTCTTACCATTTTCATCCGGTGAGGTAACGTGACTTGGTAAATGCTTGCCCGGGTAAGTGTTCGATAAATGGCCCCTAACTCTTGGGTAGTTCACTAAAAAGACAGAAAGGTTCCATGGGCATGGGATAGATACTGCAATCTAGAACCATTTTCATAGAAAAAAGATGTACAAGTTCCTCTGCATGAAGTACATGTTATTAAAGCAAGGTTCTAAATGATGTTGGGAATGGTGGCGAGGTCGAGGCGTTTCTTATCGTGACAAAAGACGTGTGTAGAAATAAAAATTGAAGATATCTCAATAACAAGAGAAATAAATGATTTGATGATCCGATCAAATAATATTACTATGGTTCAAGTAACAATAACAGTATCTACTCGAACACCACAGTGGCAGTGTGTTGAATCAGTAGCTATCAGTAAGTGTCTTCTTTATGGGCGCTTTATTCCGGCTCCACTTAGAAAAGGTCAAGGCGACACAATAGGCATTGCGATGCAAAGAGCTTTCCTTGGAGAAATAAAAGGAACTTGTATCACACGCACAAAAATCTGATAAAATATCACACAAATATTCTACCATAATGGGTATTCAAGAATAAGTACATGAAATTCTAATGAATTTGAAAGAAATCATATTGAGAATTAATCTCTATCGAAATAGAACTTGTGAGGCGTTTAATTGGGTCAAGGGCCCTGGAAATGTAACTGCTCAAGATAGCATCTTACCGCCTCATGTAGAAATCATCAATAATACACAGCATATAGCTAGCTCGATGGAACCCATTGAGTAGATTATTGGACTACAAATAGAAAAGAATAGCCGATATTTTATAAAAACACCACCTTTCAAGATGGAAGTTATCCTACAGATCCTGTATCCATGCCTATTATGTATATCAGGTATATAATTATAGGTTCATATTCAGAGGAAAACCGCAAAAAAAAATCAAAAACTAAGACCATTCATCTGGACGGTATACACATGTGCATACAGTAATTTGTAAGCACTTTAGCCTCCATGCACATGTGCATAAAAACCAAAAAATAGCTTCAATTACTTGTACATACTTGCATACCATCCAAATGAATAATTACAAGGAAGTTCTCCAGTTTTTCATTTTTTGGGGTTTTCCCCTAAACCTACCTCTATAATTATATATAGACACATGTTTTCTACTATTACTCAACGGGTCAATGACATTAAGTGGGTGTTTGGGATTGCTTATAAAAACAACTTATTCTGGTGTGGCACCGGTAATAAGCACTTTTGAGTGTTTGGATAGACAACTTATACCGGTTCCAAACTGGTAATAAGAAATTTTTGAAGAAGTTAAATCATTCTAACTTATAATAAGTTGATAAGCACTTATGTAAAAAAGCATAAGTTGTTTCAAATAAGCAATCACGTTCACCCCCTAAACCATTTAAAATAGGTTATACACTAATAACTAAAAAGCGAGACTCTAGAAACGTAAGAAAAATCAAATAAATATTGTGTTACAATAAACACACATTTGGGCGTGAGACCTAAAACCCTGAATCCTAAACCCTAAAGCTAGAACAGTGTTAAACGAAAGTCGAAGGTCGTGAAACAGCAAAATCTATCTTATTTCTCCTTCCATCTCAATCAAGATTCAAGAAACAAGTCATAATCAGAACAAATTGGGTTAAATCAAACTACATACTCACCAGGTTATCAAAAATTCCCAAAAACACAATCCATATTTCACATAATGACATAAATTAGAAATTCATAATTCCGCATATATCAAGAATCAAACAAGCTGCGTAAATTTGCAAAAGATGAGATGTTTACCTGCCCTAACTCGACAGTCGGCAAAATCGCAAGTTTGGAGGCGTTGTGATTGAATCGATTTCAGCGGAGACGGGACTTGGACCGGAGTTGAGGGCTGTTGGGCCTCACTTTAACAGGCCCGATGGCTGCCATCTTTTATTAATAATATTTTAAAAATAAAATGCACGAAATAACAACCTATTTTTATAAATTGTTTTATTATAGCATTATATTTTCAGTTTTTCTTATTATAATAATGCACTTTCAAAATATTTTTTATTAGGGCATTGTACTTTTAAAAAATAGCATTGAATAACTTATATATATTTTTTATTAGGGCATCGTACTTTCAAAAATTTATCTGTTATAACATTGAGCAACCTTTTCAATTAACTTTACCCATTATATCAGTTTTCTTTGTCATCTCATCATCTACTTACGTTGTTCACATGTACGATAGTGATGATATGACATTTTTTTTATTATAGCATTGCGTTTTCAAAATTACTTTATTATAACATCACTAGTTTCTGTTACAACATTGTACTTTTAATTTTAATATTTTTATCATTTAAACGTTATAAATTTAATCAAATATGTTTCCTAAAAATTATAATAAATATTATTTGAGATTATAATATCGTTTTTTTTTATATATTATAGAAGGCAAAAGACACCCAAATCGGTAACCTTTTTTTTAGCATTAATAGATCTGCAATAAGATATCAAACAGTATATGAAATTTAATCTTTTTTACCATTATGTAAGTTTTTGTTAAATTAAATATTATATTTTTAAAATAAAAAAAATACTCTCTCTTAAAACTCTGTAAACAAACCAAAATAGCTATATATTTGATTAGATTTACAATATGTAAATGATAAAAAATTAAAAATTAAAAGTACAATGTTGTAATAGAAATTGATGATGTTATATTAAAGTAATTTTGAAAGTACAATACTATAATAATAAATATCATGACAGCACTATCGTATATGTGGACAGCCTACGTGAATGATGAGGTGGCAAAGAAACCTGGTATAATGTGTAAATTTAATTTAAAATATTACACAATGCTATAACGGGTAAATTTTTTAAAGCACGATACCCTAATAAAAAATATTTTAAAATTACATTGTTATAATAAGAAAAAACTGAAAGTAGAACCCTGTAATAATTTTTTTTTGTAAAAGTAAGTTGTTATTTCACGCATTATTTCCATATTTTAATTATTTCTCATGAATAAAAAATATTGAAATTAAATGTGTATAAGAAATAAATAATATTATATTAGATGTATTGAATATATTATTAATATAGTCAGAGTTGAACGTAATTTTTTTAAATATTTTAATTTTTTATACTATATTTTTAATATATATATATATATATATATATATATAKAGAGAGAGAGAGAGAGAGAGAGAGAGAGGAGTGATCATATGAAAACCGTCCTCATTTGTGTAAACCGTGCAAACCACCTTCATCTGTCGATTTCATTGTTTAATCTTATGAATTTTTTTCATGAAATTGTTTAATCTTGTGAAATTGTTTCATGTAATACTTTTTTTGATGAAGTTGTTTCATATATGGTTGTGAAATTGTTTCATATAATACTTAATGAAACTGTTTCATGTATTTCTCTAATATTAATGAAACTGTTTCATGTATTTCTCTAAAATTAAAATAATGAAGATGATAATATCTATGATTAACACCCTCCACAATAAAAATGATTAATCAACCTCTCATAATTACAAAAAAATGAACAAAATGAAAAATTATGATTGGTTGAATGCGGTTTGCGCGGTTTGTACAAATTGAGTGGTTTGCATTTGATCGCTCCCCTATATATATATATATATATATATATATATATATAAAGTAGTTGTTAGAGATGGTCTAAAGAAAAAGGTTGATTACTAGCAATTTCAACTGTTTTCATATAAATCCCTCTTAGAAATCATATGTGAGGTGGCATTTTAAAAGCAACTCAACAATTGATGCTAGTGAACGGTTTAAACTCGTCTTCCATAAGATTCAAACTTAAATCCATTGTATATTCGACTAACGTCACTTCACTCATTTACCAATTGAACTACACGTCAATGACCAAAAAAATATTATAATTAAAAAGAATTTAAAAATTGCCCAATACATACTCAGATGTTTACAATGTTTTGTTTATCAAGTGTTAACTCAGGTAAATATTTATCAAGTTTTTTTTTTGTTGAAGTATATAATATTTATATACGGAAAATACAACAAATAAACTCACACACCCTCCTCACCTATGGTGAGGTTTGAACCCCTGACCTTCTAAAAGGCCAAGGGCTACGATACCGCTAGGCAAAGACCCTTTGGTAAATACTTATCAAGTTACAATATCTTACCGGGTAAATATTGGATGGATCGATAATCTTACTTATAAGAGCGAAAGTAATGATCAAGAGTCTTACCGGGTAAGTGATGGTAACAATTGCCACCTAGTTATGGCTTACCGGGTAAATTGTTGCATATGATGTCATTTTAGTGGATTAAAACCTTACTCAGTAAGGTAAGTGATAACAATGAATTTTACCAGTATGCGCTTATCGAATAAATGTTTTGGAAAACGACCCCTCAGGATATCCTGATAATTTAGTGACATTACCAGTTTAAATGAGAAATTACATATCACCAATCATCGTTCGTTTTTTTTTTAAGTTACCACATGATCACCATGCTGTAATTTTATGAAGTTCATCTTTTAGTTGATCCAGTCTTCTTTGATAAGGGCTTATGAAGATGAATTGACTGATTTGTTGGTAATACACGATATATAACCATTTCTAACAATATTAAAGCATCTACTCTGATAAGTATTTAATAAACGGCCCTAAGTACATTCATGATCCTGTGGTTTGCATTTGTTTTGATCTGGGTCCCTGTATCTAACCATCGTTTGAGGTCAACGTTAAGTAAAGTCATGTGCCCGACACGTAAAGGGATATCTAAACATAGAAAATGTCAGTAGATACAATAGTTTATAATTTTTTTTGTTATCATGACATTATTTTGAAATTTGTTTCCGCCTTGTGATTTTCATTAGCCCATGCCTAGTTTGTTGATCTTTTGAAACTTATGTGTCGTTTATCAAACGTTTATTCGATGAATGTTTATTAGGTCATTTTCCTTACCAGATAGACGTGACAATGACTGAGAATCCTACCATGTAAGAGTGTGACAATGGTCGAGCGTCATATTCGGTTAGCGCTTATCGAATAAATTATTATATACAGTGTCATTTTGATGGATTATAATCTTACCCGTTAAGGTAAGTAAGAACGTCGACTCTTACCGAATAAGCGTCTGGGTAAACAATCATTTACTTTTGATGGATTATCATCTACCAAAGGGTCTTTTGCCTAGCGATATCGTAGTCTTTGGCCACCTAGAAGGTCAGGGGTTCAAACCTCTTCCTTTGACCATTTATTTTTTTCTCTTCCTTTGTGCTCTTGATCATTTTCTTCAAGCTCCACAAGTAGATTTCTTTTATGTTACTCTCTTCAAAAACTTTAAGTGTAATGCGACATCCAAAAAGACTAGAACATCTCTAGTAATTATAGCTCTTTTTTAGCCGGGCAATTCATAAGGTCTTTTTGTTAACCATAGGTGTCTGAACCAATTTACATGCACATCGACTAATCCAAGGACCCTGAAGAACAACAGTTAGGAACCCCCCCCCCCCCAATGACTTTACAGGACTTAAACCGTCGATCTTTGAGAGCACCAATATCAGAACTAGCACCAATATTGTCAATCTCATCAATATCGATATCATCAAAACGCTTAAACTTGTCATATAGGACCTTGTTTAGAAATACCGTAATGAAATGAAGATAGGAGTTTTTTGCTATGTATTTGACCAAATAAGATCGTCCAGAAATCGGTGACGGTGTTCTACCTAAATAGCGGATACAAAAAGTCCTGAAGACTCAAGACTTATGTTTTCAAGTTGGATTAAACATTTGTATTTTTTTTTATATTTTCAAGTTGTAAAAGTAGATTCATTGTCGTTCTAAATACCAACAAAAATTGATCTCTCGTTTGTAGCAATTTATATTTAAAGAAAATAACTTTTAGGAGCAACTCCAACAGTTATGTTAAAAATGGAGAAAAGAGGAATTTTAGCATTTTTTGTTGCTCCAACAGATATGTTATCCTCTATGCTAAACTAGGAAAAAGAGGAAAGATTGTAAAAATCTTTAAATTTAGAGAAATCTCTAAAAATCTATAAAAAATAAAGAAATAATATTTTAATTATATTCAACCAATTAAAGTTTCTGAAGGTAAATCTTCACGAGGAGAGAGAAATTAAATGTGTTGTATATTTATTAACTAGAAGCGTACTTGTGCAATGCAGCGAGATACATCGTAACTTTAATATTTCATTTTATTCTTTATCTCAGTCGATGTTATAATATGACTTTATGTGATTTTGAGAAAGCGATGATGTTTTTATTTTTGAATAAAA